CCCCCCCCCCCCCCCCCCTCCACACTTTCCTTCCACTTTCAGGCTCGTATATTCATATCACTTTTGTATATACAATATACCCCCCTCCACCCCCATGATAACTACTAGAAATATTGTTTGATGAATGTGTTGGTTTTATTTGGAAAATTGGAGTTATATATTTTGATTCTTTACTTTGTTCATTGGAACAGTTTTTGTGCAAGATTCTCACTAAGATTAGAATATTCTCTATCTTAAGTAGCAACATCATAATAAAAAAAGTGCTTGTCTACTTTGGAATTAACACATATTGTAGCCTGTTGGTTTTCTTTGAATTGTCAAATGTATATTGTATATACAATTTATATAAATATATATATATATAAATCTGTCCCTTTAAGATTGAAATAAAACTTTCATAATTGAATAGCTGTTCAAAGGCTGCTTCAAAATTAACACACAGTAACTGCTATGTGTGGGGGTTGGGTTTTTTTTTTTATTTGAGCAGTCAGTTTTATGCTTTTGTCCATGTAAAATTTAAACAATTAATGAAAGTCGTAAACAAAATGTGTTCTTTTTTTTTACTTTTTAATCAAAACTAAGGTTTAGATATTTAATTTAGTTGAATATATAATTTGGTCCCCTTTAGAGTACAAACAGAAATACCATCATTGGAAATCTATTGTGATTCTTCAGAATTGAGGCTATGATGATAATGTATGTCTGGTTGATTGGAATGTAGTCAAAATTAAATAGATCGATCTGTCCCAGTTTGATAAAGATTTTGAAAAAAATGCCAGAGTTGAAAGTCAGTTGTCTGCTGGTGATTCAGTGTGTGATTTTGTGATTTGACTTGAGTGTAGCAGGCCACACACACAGAGGCAAGAAGTCCCTAAGCAAACCACACACACACACACGCACACACACACACACACCCCATACCACTGTACCGTGATTAACCTCTGACCTTTGACCCCCCACAGAGAGCAAAGAGGCAAGAAGTCACTGAGCAAGCCCTCCCCCCAGGCGTCTCTGTCGGTGGGCCAGCAGGTACAGGAGAGCCTGATCAAGTACAACACCAACGAGCCGCGCTGGGAGCAGAGCTTCCGCTTCATGGTGCACAACCCAAACTACCAGAACCTGGAACTGGAGGTGAGCGCGCGCTCTTGCTGCTGTGCTGCATCAAACACCATCACCATCACCATCACCATCACCTCCTGCTGCTGCTCGTCACTGGCATCATCCTCATCATCATCGTCGTCGTTGTTGTTATTGTCATCATCTTTGTCATCATCATTTTCATCGTCATCATTGTCACCATCACAATCATCATCTTCATCATCATTGTCATCATCATCACCATCATCGTCATTGTGATCATCATTATGGTCACCATCATCTTCATTGTTGTCATTGTCATCATCATCATTGTCATCATCATAACAATCTTCATGGTCGTTGTGATGGTCATCATTGTGATTATCATCGTCATCATCATCATCATAACCATGGTCATCATTGTGATTATCATCATCATTGCCACTGTCATCATTATTGCCATGGTCACGGTCACCATCATTGTCATCATCACTGTGATCATAGTCATCATCACCATCATCATTCTCAATCTTCAGCGCTTATATGACCTTATTGTGTTGCAGGTACCGTAAAACTTGTACTCAAACATAAATGAACAATATCATTCAGTTTCCAAACTTTTAGGTTTTCCATGTTTGAAGTTACCTTCATCGGTATTTGATTATTGTTTTTATTACCACTGTCATTTTTACTAACATAACTATTTTAATGTCTCCCCCCCCCCCCCCCACCCCACCCCTCGACCTGTGTGTATGTGTGTGATTCCGTTTGTGTGTCCCTGTGTGTGACTGCCTGTGTGTATGTGTGTGTGTGTGCGTGCGTTCATGCGTGTCTGTGCGTGGCCTCCTGCCTGCGTACGTGTATGCGTGCATTCCTGCGTATGTGTGTGTGCATGCCTGCGTCTATGCGTGCGTTCCTACCTGCGTGTATGTGTGCGTATGGCTGCCTGCCTGCATATGTGTACGTTCCTGCGTATGTGTGTGTGCTTGTATGCGTGCGTTCCTACCTGTGTGTATGTGTGCGTATGGCTGCCTTCCTTCCTACCTGCGTTCCTGCCTGCGTGCGCACCCAGCTCACAGACACCAAGGCCAAGAAGCCCATTGGCGGCACCACAATCCGGCTGAAGGATCTGCTGGTGGCTGAGGACATGGTGCTGGACCAGAAGTTCCACGTCAAGACCTCGGAGACGGGCAGCTACGTCATCCTGCGACTCTGTCTTAGGGTGAGTCCCTGCTCGCGCTCCAGGAAAAGGTCTCGGGGTCGAGCTCCAGGAAGGGGTCGTTCCTGGAAAGGGTCAGGGGGTCGCGCTTCAAGAAAGGGTAGTGCTCCAGGAAAGGGTCAAGGGTCGCGCTTCAGGAAAGAGACACGGGGTTGCACTCCAATAAAGGGTCTGGCTCCAGAGAAGGGTCACGGTGTCGCTCTTCAGGAAAAGGTCGCGCTCCAAGAAAGGGGAATAACAGTGGTTGGCGGGTGCCCTGGTGCGGTTTGCTCCTTCTGTCCTATCAAACATCTATTGATGGGTGGTTGGCGGGTGCTCTGGTGTGGTTTGCTCCTTCTGTCTTATCAAGCATCTATCATCCTTTTCTCTCCTCCTTTTTTGTGTATGTTACTCTCTGTAGCTCATCTCATCTCATCTGCAGGTCATCTCGTTTGTAGCTCATCTCATCTCATCTGTAGTTTATCTTATCTCTTCTCGTCTCATCCCATCTGTCATCTCATCTGTCATCTGTCCTGTCATCTCGCCTGTCTTCTCGTCTCGTCTATCATCTCATATCTCATTTCGTCTTGTATGTCATCTTGTCTCATCTGTCATCTCATCTCATATGTCTTCTCGTCTGTCATTTCATCTCGTATGTCGTCTTGTCTCATCTGTTATCTCATCTGTCATGTCATCTCATATCTCATCTTTTGTCTGTCATCTCGTTTCATCTTGTATGTCATCTTGACTCATCTGTCATTTCATCTCGTCTGTCATCTGGTCTGTCTTCTCGTCTTGTATGTCATCTTGTCTCATCTGTTATCTCATCTTGTATGTCATTTCATCTGTCATTTCATCTCATCTGTCATCTCGTCTTGTTTGTCATGTTCTCTCATCTGTCGTCTCCTCTGTTGTCTTGTCTCTCATCTTGTCTGTTATCTCATCTCATCTGTATGTCATCTCATTTCACCTGTCTTTTCACCTCATCTGTCATTTCATCTCATCTCGTCTCGTCTGGTCACAGGTCCTGACCCCCAACGCTAACCCGGAGTGGTTGGCGGAGGAAGAGCCGCTCATCGAAGAGCCGGATCCGAACGCCAAGCCCGCCGCAGGGGAGGGCGACTCTGTGGACCCCCCGACCACTGGCAACGGCAGCTCAGTGGACAGAGAGGGCGGAGAGACAGGGGTCGCGGGGTCAGGTGGGGCCGGGGACGCTGCGGCTCAGGAGGGCAACATGGCTGCCTCGAGAGCGGGCGAACTGGAGAGTGATGTGAGGCAGAGGAAAGGGAACAGGTGAGTGAGGGAGAGGAGAGGGGAATAGGGGAGGGAGGGAGAGGGGAGAGTTGTTAGGCAGAGAAAGGGGCGTCGGTGGCCTAGTGGTTCGGCTCTCGGACTCGCAACTGTAAGGTCGTGGGTTCGAATCCTGTCAGGGACCCGACGTTGTGTTCTTTGGAAAGGCACTTTACATGAGTTTTCCTCACTTCACCCAGGTGGGAATGGATACCCAGCTATAGACAGTGAAAGATCTTGTCAGTTAATGTTTGAGCGCTTAATCAGCTGCTTGCACTGTATGCTTCCCGGGAAGCTTCGAATGTTTCTGAGTGTTCTATGGTCTGCTGAGGTAATAATATAGTGTAAAGCGCATAGAGCTTGCTGTCGAGCGGGGTTATGCGCTATGCAAATGCTATTTATTATTATTATTATTAAAAAGGTGAGTGGGAGTGAAGGAGTTTAGAGGAAAGAAGAAGTAAAGATAAGGGTGGTAGATATTTGATAGAAAAGGAGTAGAGACAAGGAAGATAGATGGGTTGGGTTTTTTTTTAGAAAAGGACAATAGATGTTTGATATGAAAAAAGGAGGAGAGATAAGGACGATAAATGTTCAATAGGATAGAAGGAGCGCAAACCACATCAGAACTCCCGCCAATCACCCACTAATGCGCATCTCCCTGTGTGTTCGCCAGTGTGAACAGCTCGGGCGACCACGGACTTGGCCGCTTACAGATGACCTTCAGGTACAGCCAGCAGCGGGAACGGCTCATCATCGTGGTTCACAAGTGTGTGTAAGTATTGCCTTGTCTTGTTTGTTTTAGTAGAGGGTTTTACGGCGCTCGCAACTGCATAAGGTCATATGAGCGCCAAGGGGTGGATGTCAACAGGGAAGTCTTTACAGGGAATCAGACTTACTCTGCTCCATTCTAGCTTCAACAGCACAAAGTCTGCTTCGACTATCAAGGCACCCCGGAAATAGCGGTTCACAAGAGTGTGACAAACGTACAAAAGAAGTAGAGGAAAATGACGATAGATAAGATTAGGAAAGAAAAAGCAGCAGTACCCTGTTGTAGGTCAGGCACAGTTATGAATCAGCCCATTTACAATTCCAATTCTACTGTGCATAAGAACTCTAGATGTTAATGCCCCCCCCCCCCCCCCTCTTTGGGAATGGGCTAAAGACCCTTCAGTCAGAAGCACCACCCCAGAGGGTTGACTTGTCTCACAAGTGTGTGTAAGTATTGACTTGTCTCACAAGTGTGTGTAAGTATTGACTTGTCTCACAAGTGTGTGTAAGTATTGACTTGCCTCACAAGTGTGTGTAAGTATTGATTCAGAAGTATTAAGATAAAAATCAGAGCTCTGTTGGTTCCCTATTTTTTTTCCTGTCGAAGATCCCAGTTCGAATTCACATAAAATATGTTGGGTTTTTTAAAACTCTCTCACACACACTCTCTCTATGACTATCCTGTGTTTCTCTCACTCACAGCCTCCCACTCTACCCCACTCTCTGTTTCTCTCTCTCTCTCTCTCTCTCTCTCTCTCTCTCTCTCTCTCTCTCTCTCTCACCCACCCTCTCTTTCTCTCTCTCTCTCACCCACCCTCTCTTTCTCTCTCTCTCTCACCCTTTCTCTCACTCGCCCTCCCTCTCTCTCTCTCTCTCTCTCTCTCTCTCTCTCTCTCTCTCTCTCTCTCTCTCTGTGTGTCTCTCTTTCTCTCTCTCTCTCCCAGTCTCTCACTCACCCACTCTTTCCATCCCTCTCTCTCACCCCCAGGAACCTGCGACCGGTGGAAGGTGACAGCAAGAACCTGGCCGACCCGTACGTGAAGATGTACCTGTTACCGGACAAGTCCAGCTCCTCCAAGCGTCGCACCAAGGTCATCAAGGACAACCTCAACCCCGTCTTTGACGAAACGTGAGGGCCTCTTTTTGTTGTTGTTGTTGTGGGGGAAGGTGGGAGGAAAGGGGGGAGACCGTTTTTATACTCAAAATGAGCAGACAGATAAACTGACAAATTAATAGACAAACTGATAAATAAACATGAACAGGCTGACAAATAAACAGCCTGAGAAACTGACAAATAAATCGACAAACTTACAAATAAACAAACTGATGGATGAACTAACAGACAGACTGACAAATAGACAAACTGTCAAATAGGTAGACGGACTGACAAATAACAGACAGACAAACTGTCAAATAGACAAACAGTGACCATTTTGATAACCAAGGTGCCCTCAGATTTGAATACCTCATGTTGTCGACGGGTCAGAAGCCCACCTCTTATACGATCTGTAAAATGTGTCTCAATCGGCGTGTGAAAACACCATCATCATCATTGCCTTTCTCACCCTGCACCAGGGTATAGGCCACGAACAAACACTTCCCACCTTTCTCTATCCTGGGCTATCCTCTTGATGTTATTCCATGTCTTCCTACTTTTCTGTACATCAATTTCTTTGATTTTTCTCCGGGTTCCGCGCGGTCTTCCCCTTGATCTCTTACCCTGTGAAAACACCCACGTTAATTCATATCTCGTTTAGATTCGAGTACCCAGTGTCGGAGGCTGAACTGTCGAGCCGCACGCTGGAGATCAGCATCAAGAACGAGGTGGGCGTCTTCTCCTCGTCCAAGACCATGATGGGCATGATCTTGCTGGACATTGGCTCTCTGGACACCGGCAAGGCGGTCACTGAGTGGTCAGTATATATGTGCGTCACGACAGTGGAATCAGGCGCTGGTCAATTTTCGGGCGTATAGAGATATTGGTATCATCTTAAAAATTGTTCGTTTGCCTTGCTTTCAATGAAAAGGTATTAGTTTATCTTGAATAGAAGTCTAGATATTCGCGATTGAAGAAGGTGGGGTCGTCTGGTTTCAGAGGTAAAATTAGAGAGAAAATAACCACCAAACTTTGTTGGTAACTCCCATAGCTCAAGAGTCCTAGAAAACTGCAAATTAAAATTTTTTGTGCCTTTAATCAACATTTTTCCATAAAATCCACACAAAAAAGTGTTTTTGAATGGACATACAAGGTGTTCAGTCAAAAAACAAAAAAATTCGAAAAAGATTTCCAAACTGGCCATTTTGCGGATCTCAATATTTTGACGAGCGCCTGATTTAACTATGTCGCTGGATGGTCTGTACATGTGTGTGCACCTAGAGAAAGGTACCAAAAGTCGCCCCAGACCATTTTGAGTTACAGGCCGATAATGACAAAAAATCACTTTTTTGACCAAAATGTGTTTCAATTTTTTAAAATGATAGATCCACCATTCTTTTTACAATGTGCTCAAAGGGTTTTTCATTGATTTGACTTCTAAATATTTTATTTTGACGGTAGGGTATAATAAAAACAAATAATGAAAACTGCTTTTTAAAGGTGTTACAAAGTGGGTGGTTGGCGGATGCTCTGGTTTGGTTTGCTCCTTCTTTCCTATAAAAAATCTATTGTCTCTATCTCTCCTCCCTCTTTTTTATGTTTGTTACTCTATTGTAACACCTCTAATCTTAGGCACCTATATGACCTTATTGTGTTGCAAGTGCCGTAAAACACTTACTAAAACTAAAAAGGTGTTAGAATCTATTCTTGAAGCTCGTTTTCTCTTCCCTGCTATGCTTTACCATTGAAATTTCATTCATGATATTGATACCAACTGAATGCCAAATTGGAAATTAATTTTCCAAGAATAAATACATTTAAAAAACCGTTTAACGTTTGTATGTGTTCTCACGTTTGTTAAACGTAAAAGCTCATTTTCTCAAAATTATATTATTTATATTTTTATACCCTACCTCACAAAATGTGCAGTATCTCAAAAATTACCTTAGATTTCTAAAAAAATTCAAAGACACCATTGTTCAGCATTGAATTTCCTAAAGGTACAACCCACGTATGTCTCTGAGTGGTCAGTGTATGTCTCTGGGTGTGTCAGTGTATGTCACTGGGTGTGTCAGTGTATGTCTCTGGGTGTGTCAGTGTATGTCTCTGGGTGTGTCAGTGTATGTCTCTGGGTGGTTAGTATATGTCACTGGGTGGTCAGTGTATGTCTCTGGGTGGTTAGTGTATGTCACTGGGTGGTCAGTGTATGTCTCTGGGTGTGTCAGTGTATGTCACTGGGTGTGTCAGTGTATGTCTCTGGGTGTGTCAGTGTATGTCTCTG